GAGAGAAGCTAGTCTAATATTTCTCTTTCGGGTTAACACTGAAGTTTGGGTAGGTTAGCTCAGTCACTCCATCGGCCTTCCTAGGCAGTACGTGTACAGCTAGATCAGTGCGACTCTCTGCTTCATTCAATAATAGTGACCACGACAAACATTCAAATAAATCTGCATAAGTAAAGCAATTATGAACTGCATCTCTGTTTTTATCTGTACGTGTATGAGATACGGAACCTTCCCCGAGTATTAAGCCACTAGTGGGTCCACACTCTCTCCTTGTTCGTGTCTGCCAGTTCATCGATACAAATCGCCTCATCCATTGAATTAGACGCGAGAGCTACATCCTTCCACTTTACTTCGAACCTCCATATCTTCCAGCTTTAACGCTGTTCCATCTGCCCATGTGTTTCTCAATACAATGAAATTATAATGATGCGCACCATTCCAGTAAAAAAAGTGTGACTACTCAGCAGACCGTTCTGAATCAGACCACGTATCCATTTGTTGTTACTGAAGTTCTCCTCCGTTAGTTATCTACCGATGCTACTTCAGCATGCAGACTGTAGTGTGATTGAGGGATTGGAAGCATCTCGATTGAAGTGATCCAGGCCTATTTTAGGAATGTTGATGAAGGGACTAAGGAGACAATGAAACCCCACAGGCTGGACAGCCAGTATCCAGAAAGAGATTCGAAACAAGGGCCTCCCAAACTGACTCCCACCTGTTCTGTAAGACGTGGTGTAACGACTCAACATAGAGTAGGATGAGACACTAGCAGTTAAATACACATCTACATGTACTATTTGTGTGATGCACCTCGCTTTGTGTCTACAGGAAGGAAGGTAGCCACACAGCGACATGTAGCAGGGGCGACCATGCAGGTTACACTCTGCACGGGGGAGAGGCGCAGTGCTCAGTGCTGAATAGTGTGGACGCTGTGGAGCCGAGCCTGAAGAGTGCAGCGGAAAACCAGGGGGAAGCAGAAAACTCAGTGTCTGAAGGAGACGAAAACGCACAGACACTGAGTTTACAGGCTTCTGAACTGAAAGAAATGGATCCGTCAGCAACAGAAGCACGGCCCTTGAACGCAAGTGCAAAGCAGGTAAGCCACTGCACTATGCACTGTGAGTGCGCTTGTAGCTGGGAGGTTAATACGAAAGCTGGCTGTGAGGATGTAATATTCTGATGATGGGAAATGCATTGAGTCGATCCTGGAGAGTAGAGGAGTTCCGTGCAAACCTCATATACCTGCTTTCCTATTGCAAAGATTTCTAACTTCTCGAACCCTGTGCCCGTATATTTATATTTATGTTTATTTGTAGGGACAACCCTTGAGATGCGCAGAACAGCCCCCCTTCTCTGGGCAAGGAGACTTACTAAAGTTCGATGTCACAAGTTCAGAAACTTATTTCGAATTGCAACAGGCCAGGGAGCCTATTCCGGAATGCTATGGAGAAAGTAGAAGGAAATATTTAGGATGTAACAACAAAATGTAATTTAGCTTATGGGCCAGTGTATAGTGTTATGATGCCAGGATGGGGGTGGTCTAGGATTCCTGTTCAAGGATGGGTCCCTAGGATAATGCCCCTTCCCGAATCACAATGAAACATCTTCGTCTTAATTAAGTCAAACAAAGATAACATTTATTAATCCAATAACGTAAAATAATAAGTTCAAGCAAATTTTGTCTGCCCACAATCACTTCGTCTCCACGCTGAGGTTAACTGGCCAGGCTGTGACAAACAGATCTCTGCTTACAGAATACAGCGACCTTCCCGTAGACGAACAAGGTGGTGCTTGGAGAGTGCAGATTTCTGTTGGTCAACTGGCTCCCTATATCTGCCGCCCAAGTTAGCGGTTCCCCCTGGAGGATGGACCGTCTATTTTCCTCAGGCACATTTTAATAAAGTTTACAATTGAGCCGTCATCATTCTTTATCATCTTTTATTTTCTAAGCTAACAAGTGATTTCGTGACACCGTACAGACGTCATAGGGTATGTCATTCTCCTCCTCATGACAGTTGTTCCAAGTTCCAGTTTTTAGTAATGTTATTCATCACGACATCCGTTGTTAGCTCTACCGTGTAGGAAATGAATGTGGTCTGACTTCTAACTTTACTCACTCTGGGTTTTCCCCTGTCCACATCCTACATCCTGTGGTCTGGTTACAGTTCATACAATTTGCTTGTACTCTCATGCTCTTGATTAAATTATTAATATCTATCAATATACAGTCAATACATATTCCTCAATATCCTTATTCCTCTAAGGTAATATCAATATACAGCATACATGTCAGGTGACGTCTCATAACAGTCCTTTCATACCTCAACACAAGTTTATTCTGTGGTCGGTTTTATTGTCCTCAGGAGCGAAGGGAACAACTTCATGAGAAATTCGAGCCTCTCAGAAGGCAAGACGCTCCATGTCAGAAGAACAAGATGAGGAAGACAACCAAAAAGAAGAAAAGAGGACGGAAGTGAATGGAGGAACTGATGAAACGTCTAAGAGCTGTAAATACTAGTAGAGTGAATTCACTGACTACACAACACGTTTTTTATTATCACTACATGTTTCGACCTCAAGAAGTCATCCTCAGGTGTATGAACACGGCAGTATAATTACACGCGGTTACATTCACTTTACAGTCATTCGACCCTGTATCTTATCCAGACTTACGCTCACTAATATATCGAGTTATTTTATAAAATACAGGTTAAAATTATTATTCTAATTTAATTGTTAAAAGTTAAAAGTTCGTGAATCGAAGTTCAATTCATGTCACTGGTTACACTTTCACTTTCGTGAATCGAAGTTCAATTCATGTCACTGGTTACACTTTCACTTCTTTACAGTTTCATTTTTACTTAGGCTCACTACGAATTCGTAGTGACTACAAAGTCAGCACGGAAATAAGGTTGTCCCACAATTTCAGCATATAAAACAGGGCAAAGAAGAGCGATGTGTTCTGGAATATAACGCTGTGTAGTCATTTGGAAGTGGACAGACGTTTCTTAGGAAAAATTAGTGCCTCTATATTCAGGGTCGGAAAATAAGCTAAGGAACCTCAGTTTTCCACCTGCTTTCCAGCTGGTTTCTTGCTCTGCTTATTCTTCTACCCTGAAGATGGAGGCGATATGTTCGTTCGAAACGTGCAGTTCACTTTGAAAGGACTACATTGCATTATATCTCAGAGGACAGTACTCTTCATAAACACCGCTATGAGACCCTCATTTCCTACAAAAACAAGACAAATTGTAACAAATTCTGTGTTTGAAACGTTGCAGGAAAATCCAGATTTCGATGAATAGGAGCTGGACGAATGAGACTTGTGGCCACGGGAAGAAGATGACTGCATCTGAGAAATTTCCGCGGCCAGTTAATTCTTTTTCATAAGACGAGAGTCCGGTCCCAACAAACTTACTTGTAAATATCTTTCCAATTTATTTTAAGTTTTATACAATTAAACTTAGTATTAATAATTAATTATGGCATAATCATAAAGAGTATTACTACACTTAAGTATACGGTGTGGCATGTTGACAAATATAAAATTATATTTAAAATATTTATTAATCACTGTGCTAATGAAATCTTGTAGCATATTTTATTTTCCTCAAGCCAACATTGTTAAATTAACTTGTGCTAATTTTCATTGACATATCTCATTGTGATCACCAAAAACATATTTATTATTAAGATTCTTGTATTTTCATGTATGCAAAGTTGTAATTTAATAAATAAAAATGTACGAATCTATCAATTCTAAATACTAATTTCATGGCTTAGACCGTGAGGCCACTGTGATCGAATCTCTGAATACAGTTCATAGCCCAGTTCTGCGTCTTCAGTCCGATAGAATGGTTACGCGGGAGGGGCAACTGAACGTACAATTTTAATTCAGAAGAGTGTACGAGATAACTGTGACTGTAACACACAAAATGAAGTCTTCAACGTCTGCTTGATAGCCGTTGCTTGGCAACTGGTTCCTTAACACTCTGTGATGTTTTGTTTTGCAGGTGCCTCGGAACACCACACGAGACCCTGACAGCAGAGCGACTTGCGACGGAGACAGCACAGCCAACGGCGAGTGCGACAGGCTAGCCGCCGGCAAGGGCGACAGCAAAGCGACTTGCGACGGAGACAACACAGCCACTGGCGAGTGCGACAGTGTAGCCGCCGGCAAGAGCGACAGCAAAGCGACTTGCGACGGAGACAGCACAGCCAACGGCGAGTGCGACAGGCTAGCCGCCGGCAAGGGCGACAGCAAAGCGACTTGCGACGGAGACAACACAGCCACTGGCGAGTGCGACAGTGTAGCCGCCGGCAAGAGCGACAGCAAAGCGACTTGCGACGGAGACAGCACAGCCAACGGCGAGTGCGACAGGCTAGCCGCCGGCAAGGGCGACAGCAAAGCGACTTGCGACGGAGACAACACAGCCACTGGCGAGTGCGACAGTGTAGCCGCCGGCAAGAGCGACAGCAAAGCGACTTGCGACGGAGACAGCACAGCCAACGGCGAGTGCGACAGGCTAGCCGCCGGCAAGGGCGACAGCAAAGCGACTTGCGACGGAGACAACACAGCCACTGGCGAGTGCGACAGTGTAGCCGCCGGCAAGAGCGACAGCAAAGCGACTTGCGACGGAGACAGCACAGCCAACGGCGAGTGCGACAGGCTAGCCGCCGGCAAGGGCGACAGCAAAGCGACTTGCGACGGAGACAACACAGCCACTGGCGAGTGCGACAGTGTAGCCGCCGGCAAGAGCGACAGCAAAGCGACTTGCGACGGAGACAGCACAGCCAACGGCGAGTGCGACAGGCTAGCCGCCGGCAAGGGCGACAGCAAAGCGACTTGCGACGGAGACAACACAGCCACTGGCGAGTGCGACAGTGTAGCCGCCGGCAAGAGCGACAGCAAAGCGACTTGCGACGGAGACAGCACAGCCAACGGCGAGTGCGACAGGCTAGCCGCCGGCAAGGGCGACAGCAAAGCGACTTGCGACGGAGACAACACAGCCACTGGCGAGTGCGACAGTGTAGCCGCCGGCAAGAGCGACAGCACAGCGAGTACATACTTTTTTAAAGAAACTCTTTCAAAATAAGCGGCGTCGATTACAGTTTTATTTTTTGAACTCCGGAAATAAATATGCAGAACTGGGTGGTTTCTAATGACAATACAGTATACAACCAGAAATTGTAAGAAAAAAAGTTGTAATATATCTTCAGTCTAAATTTGAAGAATACGCAAACAGAATGCTTGGAAACCATTTAAACTTCAGGGTCGTATTGAATCACTTTCTCACTAAGGTATGGATTGACTGCCGCACTAACGTAAATATGCAGACCACTCCTGTAACTGACGCTGTTCCCTTCGCCGGTCTCTGTGCTGTCACCGTCGACAGTCGCTGGGCTGTTGTTGGCGACGGTCCCTGGGCTGTCTTCTTCCCCACTGGCTGTGCTGTCGCCGTCGCAGATCGCTGGACTGCCGCCCTCGTCGGTCGCTGGGCTTTGGTCGTCGCCGATCGCTGTGCTCTCGCCCTCGCCAGTGGCTGTGCTGTCTCCGTCGCAAGTACCTGTACTGTCGCTCTTGACGGCGGCTAGCCTGTCGCACTCGCCGGTGGCTGTGCTGTCTCCGTCGCAAGTCGCTGTGCTGTCGCCCTTGCCGGCGGCTAGCCTGTCGCACTCGCCGGTGGCTGTGCTGTCTCCGTCTCAAGTCGCTGTGCTGTCGCTCTTGCTGGCGGCTACACTGTCGCACTCGCCGGTGGCTGTGCTGTCTCCGTCGCAAGTCGCTGTGCTGTCGCCCTTGCCGGCGGCTAGCCTGTCGCACTCGCCGGTGGCTGTGTTGTCTCCGTCGCAAGTCGCTATGCTGTCAGGGTCCCGTGTGCTGTTCCGAGGCACCTGCAAAACAAAACATCACAGAGGGTGCAGGAAACAGTAGCTGAGGTTCTTAGTAATCGTTAGAATTGCGTGGTTCAAGAACAGTTGGTGGCACTAGAGAATGAATATGTGACATGTGTTGTCTTCTGTTTGAAAAACTAAACACAGCAAACTGCTTCACACACTTAATATATTGTGATTAATATGATAGTTTCCAATGCACGGGCTTGTTGAACAGCACCTAAAACCCGGAATGATAGCAGAAACTAATGTAATTCTACGGCAACGAACACCCTTGGAGGAATCGAAACGTTGTCTCAAATTAAGACAAGGCTCCGACATAACAGATTCAGGAAAAGCAATAACTGAATCATAGGACATGATGACTTTCAGGAAGATCGCGTGGCTGTTATAAAAGCCAGTGGAATCGTGATTTCGTCATACAGACTTCGTTCAAGGCATTGAGAAAGAAAATTCAGAAGGCAGTTAAATATTTGAAGTGTTAACCAGATAAGATTCGTTGCCAAGCAACGGCTATCAAGAAGACGTTGAAGACTTCATTTTGTGTGTTACAGTCACAGTTAATTTTATAGTATTATAATTATTTATAGCTACTATTTGTGAGTGTCGTCTGATCCATAACCCATTATTATTATTATTATTCACACCAATCAGGAATATATGACAGTACACATTCCTCTGTTGCCTGTCCCCGTGGATAGAAGAATAAGCAGAGCAAGAAACCAGCTGGAAAGCGGGTGGAAAACTGAGGTTCCTTAGCTTCTTTTCCGACTGTGAAAATAGAGGCACTATTTTTTCCTTCGAAACGTCTGTCTACTTCCAAATGACTACAGAGCTTTATATTCCAGAACATACCTGTATCTCTCTTCTTTGCCCTGTTTTATATGTTGAAATTGTGGGTCAACCTTATTTCCGTGCTGACTTTGTAGTCACCAACATGGTTTATGCTCTAAATGCCATCACATTCTTTACACCGTGTACCAAAATGATTGAAGAAACTGCACAAAGTGAAGACGATAGGGCTTCATTTTCGGAATCTTTCGCAAGGCCCTTCACACAGTCATAGTTGACATCTACAATTGAAGACTCGCATGGCGCACATCTTTCTTGAGACTGCGAAGAAGAGACTGTCTCGTATCACACTTTCTTCTGACACACGCGGATGTCCTGCACGTTTTCCCCATTAAAAAAAAAAAAAACTTTTTCTGAAACTGCTGATACCAAAGTCTAATGCTGTTGGGAGATGGAGAATCACTCTGAAATTATCGCTGGAAGGCTCGCTGAATAGAAACAACTGTTTCATGCTTCGCAAACTGCAGCACACAAAACACTTACTGCTCCGGAGTCGCCGTTATCTCTGTGTTACGTCGCGGACCGAGTGAGAGAAGGTGGGGGGGGGAAGTGGCGATTGCGCATGCGATCAAAACTTGTATACATGCTCTTTTGTTCCATGTGGGAAACATACTTCTGCGTGCATTTCCAAATCAGGTATGGTCGCGTGAAACCGCTCCAATGATTTTGGTACATAATGTATTCATTATTTACTTATTTTATTTTCGGTTAATTTGACAATGCTGTTAGTATCTCACTTTGTGTAGCATCGAATGGTAAGATGATAAAGCAATACTTAATTAATCGCGGCCGAAGAAGGAGCGCTCCTGCAGCTTATTCGAAAGTCTCAACAGGGAGATCGGCTATCGTGCCTGAGGTTTTCGTTGTTTCTCTCGGTCCTCGCTCCAGACAAATTCCGAAATAATGTCTCAGATTACAGCCCGACCACTTCCTTCCACATCCTCACCAATTCATTACTCACTACTATCTCGCAATTCGACGTTACCGTGGAAATACCAGGGACGTGCCTAGAGCGACCGAAGAAAGGCACGCAAAAATCATAACAGGATAGCCGGTTTCCGGCACGTGATATAAACACGTGACCTTCTGAGGACGAAGAAAGATGCTACCCGTTCGGTAAGAGTCGCTCTTGAAGACCTTCTCAGGGTTTTCCTCGTCTTATAGCACATGTGAACCGACCATCGTGTTAACGAGTAGCTATTGGTTCAATTTAATTGAGAACTAATAAAATGGAATATAAAAGAGACGTTCCTATTTTCAATTTCTATAAGCTAGGGATGCTGAGATAAATTTTACAGAATTTTATGCAAATGAAATTCTTCTGATAGGCAGAACTTACAGCTCTTAGACGTTTCATCAGTTCCTCCATTCACCTCTTTCCTCTTTTCTTCTTTTTGGTTTCCTTCCTAATCTTTTTCGTCTGCCACGGAGAGACTTGCCTTCTGAGAGGCTCGAGTTTCTCATCAAGTTGTTCCGTTCGCTCCTGAGGACAATAAAACCGACCACAGAATAAACTCGTGTTCAGAGATGAAAGGATGAAACAAAGAAAAATATCTCACAATAAAAAAGGCACAGTAAGTTATGGAAAGAAAAACAATATTTCTGTAACAAACACCAGAAGATATAAACAAAATAGCATAGGGTATTTTAGTTAATTGTAAGACTTGAATGTTAGTATGCATTCCCAGCTTGAGTTCACGACTTTACGAGAATCAAGACAAGTCATATTATAGCGTCGTATGTTTCTCCATACAGAATATTACCGTTGTTACATGCCATAGATCTACTTACTTCTGTCAGGTTTTTAAGAATCTTCCTTAGTCTCCTGTTTCTTTGTCTGTCTGTTGGCCTTTGGTTCTCCATTTCCAATTGCGCGTAAAATCATCGCAGCCAATCACAAAACCGTCATACAGAGACATTAAAGACAAAGGAAGCAGGAAATGGCACAACAGACGGCATATGCCGTCGCTTGAAGCACTCTTTGCCAAATTACTCTCCTCAGATTCTGTTTTCAGGGTTCGCAGGATGACAACTGCTCCCTTTATATACACAAGTTTAGCTATCGCTGTATGGTAACATTATTCTCCCGATGTGCTTCAAACCTTCTAGTTTAATTTAGCGGTTTACTGAGGAAGCAGTTTTAATAGATTGTAGTATGTCTTTGGCTACACGCCTAAGTAGGCACATCCACCTGAAATTAAGTTACTGTTCCAAATCTCGATTGTTGGTTATACAGCATGGCGAATGAATTATCTTTTGAGATACAGTAACTCCCTTTCATGGATGGTGTTAAAATGATGTATATTAATATATTTTCAAAACTTATTCAACTGTTTGAGGTAATATTTCTGTATGATGCCGAATATCAACCTGCTACACATATATTTTTTCTCTCAGTTGGACGAAGGTTAAAAAAGAACTGGGCCATGCAAGCGACATTTGGTAGGAAGCCAGATAACGAAAATAAATATATACAGGTTATGCAACACTGTTTGCATACCAGCATTTACAGCAATGGCGACGGTATTGATCTTAAAATGCCGTATCCTCCAAGCATTATGTAAATGCAACCTGTTCTTGAGGATTAGAAATTTCTCAGAGTCAATAATGAGACGACGAGGCGAGTCCTATACACTGGCCCATAAGCTAAATTACATTTTGCTGTTACATCCTAAATATTTCCCTCTACTTTCTCCATAGCATCCCGGAATAGGCTCCCTGGCCTGTTGCAGTTCGAAATAAGTTTCTGAACTTGTGACATCGAACTTTAGTAAGTCTCCTTGCCCAGAGAAGGGGGGGGGGGGGTTCTGCGCACCTCAAGGCAAAGAACCACGGAGGTAAAGATGAAACGCGGAGAAATACCATTCCTTCTGGGCTAAGAACCAACAAACCTTTACTGGATTGTTAGGAAACATAGCGCGCCTTAGACTACACGGAGACTCTGATCGGCCTGCATTGTCTAAACATAAATATAAATATACGGGCACAGGGTTCGAGAAGTTAGAAATCTTTGCAATAGGAAAGCAGGTATATGAGGTTTGCACGGAACTCCTCTACTCTCCAGGATCGACTCAATATATTTCCCATCATCAGAATATTACATCCTCACAGCCAGCTTTCGTATTAACCTCCCAGCTACAAGCGCACTCACAGTGCATAGTGCAGTGGCTTACCTGCTTTGCACTTGCGTTCAAGGGCCGTGCTTCTGTTGCTGACGGATCCATTTCTTTCAGTTCAGAAGCCTGTAAACTCAGTGTCTGTGCGTTTTCGTCTCCTTCAGACACTGAGTTTTCTGCTTCCCCCTGGTTTTCCGCTGCACTCTTCAGGCTCGGCTCCACAGCGTCCACACTATTCAGCACTGAGCACTGCGCCTCTCCCCCGTGCAGAGTGTAACCTGCATGGTCGCCCCTGCTACATGTCGCTGTGTGGCTACCTTCCTTCCTGTAGACACAAAGCGAGGTGCATCACACAAATAGTACATGTAGATGTGTATTTAACTGCTAGTGTCTCATCCTACTCTATGTTGAGTCGTTACACCACGTCTTACAGAACAGGTGGGAGTCAGTTTGGGAGGCCCTTGTTTCGAATCTCTTTCTGGATACTGGCTGTCCAGCCTGTGGGGTTTCATTGTCTCCTTAGTCTCTTCATCAACATTCCTAAAATAGGCCTGGATCACTTCAAACGAGATGCTTCCAATCCCTCAATCACACTACAGTCTGCATGCTGAAGTAGCATCGGTAGATAATTAACGGAGGAGAACTTCAGTAACAACAAACGGATGCGTGGTCTGACTCAAAACGGTGTGCTGAGTAGTCACACTTTGTTACTGGAATGGTGCACATCATAATTTCACTGTATTGAGAAACACATGGGCAGATGGAACAGCGTTAAAGCTGGAAGATATGGAGGCTCGAAGTAAAGTGGAAGGATGTAGCTCTCGCGTCTAATTCAATGGATGAGGCGATTTGTATCGATGAACTGGCAGACACGAACAAGGAGAGAGTGTGGACCCACTAGTGGCTTAATACTCGGGGAAGGTTCCGCATCTCATACACGTACAGATAAAAACAGAGATGGACTTTATAATTGCTGTACTTATTCAGATTTGTCGTGCTGACTCTTATTGGATGAAGCAGAGAGTGGCTCTGATCTAATTAGCTGTACACGTACTGCTTAGAGGGTCCGGTGGAGTTACTGAGCTAACCTATGCAAACTTCAGTGTTAAGAAGAAAAAAAAATATCCGACAACATTCTCTCATTCCTAACAATTAAGCCAATAGAAGCTATACTCGTATTTCAGAGTGTGAAGTATTATATGAATCTAATTTTGTAGGTGACGTGAAACTTGTGGAGTGCTCTTGTCCGTCACATATCTTACACGGTGCCAGTTCAGGTCATACGAGCAGCCGATGTGCCTCTTGGATTTAAACCCCTTGTCAGCTACGAGATGTACACTTACCTGTCCCTAACGCATTTCCACTCGCCGCGTCGCTGGGCTGTCGCCGTCATAGGCATCAGAGGGCGCTGGGCTGTCGCCGTCCCAGGCGTCACAGGTCGCGGTGCTGTCAGGGTCTCTTGTTCTGTTCCGAGGTGCCTAGAAAACTGAACATATCACAGTGGCTTCAGGAACGGGTAGCTAAGTGGCTTAATCGCCGTCGATATTGCGTGATTCAAGAATAGTTTGCGGCATCACAAAATTAATATTCGTTGTGAATTTTCTTCGATTTGAACAATTACACCACAGCAAAATGCTTCACACACCTACACACATGCAATGTATTGTGATGGATATGATCATATGCTAGGCCATGGCTTGTTGAACACTTCATAAAAACCGGAATGATTGCAAAAACGAATATTATCGATTGCTAGACAACTAATGGTTGCAACAAGTTTCGCGACAACGAACACGCTTGGGGAGATGAAATCGTTTCCCAAATTAACACAAGATTCTGAGACAACCGATTCCTCGAAAACTGTAATGGAACCCTTGAACGTGGTGACTTCTATGAGGACCGCGTGGTAGTTACAAAAGTCAGTTGATTCGTGATTTTGTTAAGACAGACGTAATTCAAGGCATTCAGAAAGTCATTCATAAGGAAATTCAGACGGCAGTTCAATAGTTGAAAGTTTAAGCAGATGAGGTTTGTTACCGAGCAACGACTAGCAAGGAGACGTTGAAGACTTCCTTTTGTGTGTTATAGTCACAGTAATACGTATTTAGAGTGTTAAAATTATTTGTAGTTACAACTTGTGAGTGTCTAGTAAAAAAAAACTAAAGGTATCCCTGTAACATGTCGTGGAGGCCCATAGGGTTGTGAGATGTTGAGGTTCTCACATTTTCTAGACAATAGGCTCATAGATGGCGGCAAGATTATCAGCCTTACGCCCCGGCCGCCCTTTATCCCCAAGAATATTCGAAGAATATTCCTGGTACTCATTTCTGTTAGAGGCTGAGTCGATCCCAGGGCCATAATGCGGCTGGAATGATTAGACCAATTGAAAAAGATCCAGTGACGTCATCGAGACTTGAACCCGCGACCTCCATGCTTGTAGCATAGTGCTTCAACCAACTACGCTACCGCGTACCCCCTTGTGAGTGTCTAATAGTTCTATTCATCTAATCCAGAACCCATTATAATTATTCACACCATTCAGGAACATGTGACAGTACGCATTTCTTTGTTGTGTGTCCCCGTGCCAAGATGCAACGGTGTTCCATTCACGAGTACATAAGAATATGCCATTATCCATTATCCTCAGATAAATGAAACCCACAACCTCACACACTAATTATGAATGCTCATATTACAATGCGATATGCAGTATATCAAGTAGGTCTCTCGCATTCAAGCCTTGCACTGATATGATGTCTTCAAGGTGTGCTGCAAGTCTGTTATCCTATCAAATTCGTATTAGATGTAATAATTTATTTTTCTTTTGTTTCTAATTATTTTAAAATTTTCATATAATGTTGTGGCGTATAGACTCGTCGCTAAACGGTGACTGTGAACAGCGGCCGTTGCGGCACGCAACAGCAGAGAAACTGTTTTCTTAGGAGTTAGAAGCGGGATGTTACGTAAGGACTCTAGCAGAAGGATTTCAGTTAAAGGAATTGTGGTCCTGATCGGCGGTAAACCGCCAGCGTTAAATTCACTTTGGCTTTGACTTTGCTCTCATAAAATATGGTAAAGAGTACCGTGGAACTCTAAACCAAGGATCACTGTGCTGTTGAGGACCAGCAGCAGTTTAATAGCCATCTAAGTTCAGTTGTGAGACAGTGGCCATCCGGGAATGACCTGAGCGTGGAAGCTGAAGAATCTCCACTGCTAGAAGCCATTATCTGAAAACGGCTAGTGTAGACACTGCGGTGTGGAATACAGTTAGCGTGGATTCTAGTGATGTGTAAAGTGTGGAGATCAGCGATGGCGCTATAATTAAGTGTAGTCACGAGTCGTGTGTGAAGTGGTCAATAAACGAGTCACCTAAACTAATTTTCCTCTATAGTCACTCATAGACGTGACAATATCTACTTATAACACATCTAATTTGACAATTTGCCAAAAACACATTTTTTCAACCAGCATGATAATCTGCTTTTTTAATTTCAGAATGAACATGTCTGAAATTTGCTTACCTTATCACGTACCCATCTTCGGATGCTCTCGAAGCACCCGCCGGTGGACGAGTCTCGGGAGTCTTCTGCGCATCTCCTCTCATAAAAATCTTCATCACTATCCAAGTCATTCTGAAAGGGACAACGAATGTTATCGAAGCTTCAGTTCGTATTTTAATTGGCAAGACTGCTTATGAGTTCTATAAAATTCTTACTTCCAAAATTTGCCAGACACGTATGTTTCAGTCAACATGATAATCCGTCTTTTTAGTTTCAGTATGAACATGTCTGAAATCTGCTTACTCTGTTGCATATCCATGTTCGGACCCACCCGAAGCAGCCGCTGATGGACGAGTCTCGGGCCTGTTTTGAGCTCTCTCGGAGCTCATGAGGAGAGCAGTTGTCACCTTCCATTTCGGTCGGAAAACAAGCATGAATGCTCTCGGTACCACGTTCCATATCGAAACCAGAAAGACCTATGTTAACAGACATTTCCGTGGTTCTTTCACGTTATTACGTACACAGTCTTCTCCTGCGATAGGTTGAAATGCCAGTTGAATGCTGTAACAAAGAAAATATGTCACGATTGAGCTATCTGAAATCAGGAAATTAATTAGTTGAAGTCTGATGAATGTGAAAGTATACATGTCCGTTTGAGTTTTAAACTCTCTGCTTTAAAAGCAACTAACATATTGTCAGGTGTATGAGTGGCCATAGACGTGATTAGGATTGATGACTTGAGTTATTGACCATGTACAGGTCGTAACTACAAATAACTATAATATTATCAATGATTTCCACAGTACTCAAGTCACTACATGCTAAGTTTTCTTAGTTTGTTTTACTAATCGTTACCTGGTAATGGATTATAACGATGAAGGTTCTCCCAGTTCGACTAATATCAAATGCTGTGGAGCCCTGGTTATATTCCTTCGGACGGACAAATTGAAAACCCGACTCTAACTATTTACCTACTGTTGATGCGGGCGGTTACCTAGCAATAGGCTAAAATATGAAAGTAGGCTTGTGAGATCACCTTTCTGTTTGCATATCCCCTTGTTGCTAGGCTTTGGCTCGGTAAACAGGTTCCCATGGCAACGGATACGTCACAGTAGAAGGATTTTTGCACGCCTCATTTTCTGTGCGGCCCATGTCATATCGAAGGAAATAATGCGATTAGTTGTTCCGAGAGCTTATTTGTTTACTTTTACCCCTCTTCTTTTTACGGTCAGCAATTGATGAGTTCACATATAAGTTATTTTTCTTTGAGGGACAAAAGGTGGCAACGAAAATGTAAACGTAACCATTGAAACGAAACACGTATACATAAGGCAAGGAAACTTGTATATATATGACACTCGAAAATGATTACTATCTTGAAGCTATCAAAAATCATATGTCGCATTATCTCGGACTAAAAATAAAAACATTATCGCGATTGTTTAATAAATTGTTCTGTCTTCCAACACCAATAGCAGTAGGAGCAGTAGAATGTATACCACCATCTAACGGTCTGAATACGAACTATGGAACTATCTCGTAGGTTATTTTTACCGGAATTGAAACCCACAATTAAACTGTAAGGTAGGGTTTTCCTTAATAAGTAGGGTCTGTATATGCGGAGGCAAGACTTGTACAAGGTCCAGCACGGTATGTCTGTTTTAATTCATGGTGCAATGGCTTTTCTAGGTGTAGTTAAATCCAAGGAAGAAATTAAATTTAGTTTATGTGTACGTTCATTTTATTCAACATAACCCCAAAATTTAGCACGTGCATCATGTTTGTCATGTTTTCTGATGAATTATTTCGAGGTTTTGAGACAATTTATGAGCATTTATGGGCATGAAAAGTTGTAATATCCAGCAACTTTGATTCTGCTAGACTACCGTAAAAGAAATATTTGTGCAGGAGACATTTCTTGGAAAGTAAGTTCACTACAGCAGAAAGATTACATCTGAACCGAATGGCGGTTCCATGTGGCTCAGATTTTTGCATCGCAATCATTTTCACAACCTCCTGTCCCGTCCTTGAATCTGTTGCCATCAGTTATAAATCACAAAGACTATACTCGTGTTTTATTTTCCACCTCCTAAAGAAGACATTCGTGCCATCCCCTGTAACACTGTAGACCTGTTTACCAGTGGATCCAAAATTGAAATGAACAAAATGGATACCCTTCACCGTGATGCAACCACTACCAGTTCAAGTAATCTGTTGTGAAGTTGTCCAGTTCTTGTTACAGTGAATAATTTAGATAATTGTGTCAGTGATGCTTGCAGCCACACGGATGACATATGAAGACCAGTTTTATATTCAGGTGGCTCAAAATGTATGAATTCAACAAAATTTTGAAGTTAATTTTTTTTTGACAACACATTATTTTTTCATGTATATGCTAATGTATAAAATTGGAATTTGCAGTGTTCCTAACAGTTGTGAACATTTTAATTTGGGAGTCTATGATGCTGATGAAGATGGATGCATGATGTGGTCACAGGATGTTAGTGGAAGTGGTCCAGAAGGTATGTTCACTGAAAGGCTAAACAGAAAATTCCACATTATGTTAATAAATTTATAATATAATCTGGTTGATGTGGTGAATAAAAATTAACGCTCTGAAGACTGAATATCTTCTGAACATTGTATAGAAATTCAGTTCATACCTAATATGAAAGCAATATGTCTCTGCTAAAACGACTCATTTGTTAATGCTGTTTTTGTATAAATGGAACATTAATTTCCAGTACCAGGTCATTTGTGCTTGAACTGAGGCGAAGACTTTGCAGAAGAGAGGAAAAGGGATATACCAGCAGTGTATGAAAATGATTATAAAATGTTTCTACCTACGTTTTTACTTGTGTATACATATAGTCTCGCTGCTTCTCAGAACATTTGTACAGCAGTCCACAAGCTTTCTGCTGCTGTTAGAAAAATAGAACTCTTCAGACCAAGTGTAAAGCGAGTCATGCACTGCCTCCTCATCATCATCTACAAATTGATGACCTCTGTGAGCCCCCTTAGAGGTACAAATGGAAAGAAATTTGAAGATTGAAGATCTGGACCATATGCTGGATGGTCAGTTCAAATCTCAGCTCCTGAAGGATTTTCCTAGGTTGGGAAACAGAATGATTAGGAGCAGTATCATGCAAACAGCATATTGCCTTGTCTATTTGGGGTGGATGGCTGGCCTCAATTCACTTCGTAAAATATCACAATATATTGTGTCTGTCAGTATAATGCCACATTCCCAGTAATGTTGGATAGGACAGGACTTTGAGAGGTCCAGAACATTGTCAGCAGTAACTTCCCAGCTGATGGCTGAGTCAGGAATTATTTGGCAGTCGGAGAGGACAAGTACTTGTACTGCGTACTCTACTGTGTGATTTGTGGTTCTTGATGGTATATGGAAGAATCATTACCAGTGATGTGATTAAAAAAGAATTGTTGCCTTTATTATGGTACCACTCCAGCAGACAAGAACTCATGCCCATGTGCTCTTCTGTCTGTTCTCTCAGAACGCACCCTGCACAGACTTTGTGGAAACCAAGAATATTTTGCACTGTTAAATGAGCTGAACTCTTACTGATGTCTGGTGTTGATGCACTGTCCTGTACTGATATTCGTCCATTCTTGAAGATCATGGCTCTGGCTTGTACATGTTTGTTTGTCATCACTTACTGCTGTGGTGTGGTACTACAAGCATGCTCAATTGGTTTCTCTTGTCATGCCTCATGCAAACAGGTCTGTCCACTGAAACACACTCTGTTCTCATATTGGGCTCTTAAGCGTTTGTGAATTTCAACCCCTTTAACATCTTTTGCCCCCCACCCAGCGATATGTACACCCACAAGAGAACCTTGGCCAATTGTTCTTTTTTGATGCACTCATGTTCTCTGCTTTGCCACAGCTTGCTTACTGCATCAGAGGTCATCTAGGGCAGTGTATTGATGTGTCATCTGATGGGACCGGGAGCTGTGAACTTCCATCAGGCTATCTTGTACCTTCTGCATATGGAATGAAAGTGCAGATACCTGTTGAATCACCCTCATATGTTTCAGAAAGCTAGTACAAACAAGTGAAAACAGCAAAGGTAAAGAAGCAACTGCTTCGTACCAAAATTCCCTAAGATATGTTGTAAGTTTGAGTAGTGTGAGGAATAATTTAACCCTAGAATCAGAACTGCAGGACAGTGCACCAGTTGAGTTTCAGCCAGTATCAAGAAATGAGCCTAATAAATATTCTGTTTAATACGCATACTCTGAGGGAAGTTGGAATCTTACACTGGTTGACATTTGTATTTTAATTATAGTTGTAAGACTCAGCTCTCTAGGATTCATTTGTAAGATTTCTTCCTTAACTTGTTCTTGAATTAGAATTGCATGTGTTTTGTACTGTTTTGGATTTGCCTCTGCATTTTCTGGGTGAGATCATTTTGCAGCATGCTAATTTGATTATCATTGATAAACCATTTATTTAGTCCTATAAATTTGGTTTGTCTATTACTACCACTGTTTTTCTTTTGCCTGCTTCTGTTAGTAAACAACTATTAGAAGTAATTTTCGTTTTGTACAGTTCATTAAATTTTGCTGCCATATATGTGATATATTTTAAATATTTTGTTTAGGTATTAAATTTTGTATATTACATGCTGCAAGGTGTCCAGTAGTTTATTGTTCATTAGTGTCTAACCATTTAATAGAAATTTCTATTTTGAATGGTAAATTCTTAAGCTTCATCAGGGGTATGTTCTTTTTTATATATATACAGAGTGCTCATATGTAGATAATAAAAATAGTTTGTATCAACATAGGTCTGGAATTGCACAGTTTCTGAGTTTATAAGGTCTGTCTATGACTCTAAGCTCTTCACATTACCTTACAGTAAATGTTCTAAATGTCCACCTCCTACCTGAAAGAGGCCTCTGCTCAGTGTCTCACTGCCACCCTAAGATGATCCAAAAGTCCTGGCATATTGCATATTGTCTGAAACCCACTACAGTTTGATTTTGGAGAGGTTCCACGTCATCCACTGGAGTGGAATACACCAAGGATTTTAAGTGGCCCCACAAGTAGAAATCCAATGGATTTAAATAGGGTGAGGACTAAGGCCAGGCAATTGGTCCACCTCTACCTATCCATCGACCAGGATACTTTCAAGTCAGGTACGTGCAGGCAACGAGACTTAAACGTACAGGAGTGCCATCATGCATGAAGTACAGTTCTCAATGAATGCTCAGTGGCACACTGGCCAAGAAATCTGGCATGTTTTTTTCCAAGATAGCTTTGTAATTCTTCCCTGTAATCCTATTTGGAAGTATGTGGGGTCCAAATAAATTATCACCACAAATACTGGGCCAGATGTTGATGGAGAACCGCTGTTGGTGATGTGATGGAAGAATTGCATGAGGATTTTCATGTGCCCACAGATGCTGATTATTACGAAATTGAGCAGTTTTAGAAAGCCTTGACTTGGAAAGTGTGTTGATATGAACTGTTTTTATTATATTTATATGAGGAATGCATTCCTGAAGTTATGCCCATATATTTTTGAAATACTCCATATAAGAGTACATACATATTGTGACATAGGGCCTATTCTACAGGAAGAAGAAAATGGCCAATGACCGAAATGGCAGGACATCGCGGATTGGAGTCCCACGTACAAAAGCTACTGGGCCCAGTGGAAATCGCTCGCTGTGAGAAACGGCGTACTAGAGCGCGACTGGGAATCCGCCACCGGAAGACGTCAAGTAGCCCAGATAATTATTCCTCGGAGCAGGGTGAAGGACGTTCTGAACGAACTGCATGGTGGACCGTCAGGAGATCACTTAGGTGTCAACAGAACTCTGAACAAGGTTCGGCAGAGATTCTACTGGCTCCAAGCAAGAACCGATATTGAGAAATGATGTCGATAGTGTGATACATGTGCAGCCAGTCGGGGACCACAGACCAGGAATCGTGGGCAAATGCACCAGTATAATGTCGGTGCTCCCTTCGAGAGAGTAGCCATTGATATCGCAGGGCCCTTCCCACGAAGCGACCAAGGAAACCGATACTTACTGATCGCTATGGACTACTTCACCAAGTGGCCAGAAGTGTATGCCATCCCGAATCAGGAGGCTTCGACAATAGAGGAATTTCTGGTTGACTACTACTTCTGCCGCTTCGGCATTCCTCGGCAGTTGCACAGTGAACAAGGCCGTAACTTCGAGTCTTATCTACTGTGAGAAGTTTTGAGATGCCTGGGAGTGAGCAAGACGCGCACCACACCCCTGCACTCACAGTCGGATGGAATGGTGGAACGCTACATCAAGACCATCGAGGAGCACTTGCGGAAGGTCGTTGCCTCGCGCCAAAGGGACTGGGATGAGAGGTTACCCCTCTTTCTCCTAGCTTACAGGGCATCCACTCACAACACTATGGGCCTGACCCCTGCTGGCCTAGTGTTCGGACGAGAACTATGATTACCCTGCGACCTGCTGTTTGGAGTACTCCCAGACAAAGAACTACCCACAACTGATCATGCAGCAGACTTGGTGGATCATCTGCATGACATCCACAATTATGCCCAGCAACACCTGAAGATCGCCAGTGACCGGATGAAAACTCGGTACGATAAACTGGCCAACTCCGCAGGTTACAATGAAGGCAACAGAGTTTGGCTCTATTGCCCAACCCGCAGGAAAGGGAAATCGCCTAAACTACAAGCATCATGGGAAGGTCCTTACAAAGTAGTGACCCGGATAAATGATGTGGTATACCGAATCCAGAAGACCCCTAGGTCGAGGATGTTGGTTGTACACCTCAACCGGCTCATGCCTTATTATGGAGCTGCTCGTGACGAGCAACCATAAAAAGGGGGAAGATGTAGCGGGACACGGGAGAGCAGAGCAACGGGGAGAAGGGAAGGAGTAACCAAAACAGAAGATGCTGCAAGAACAGCCTCCAAAGAAAATAAACAGGGAAGCACGACGAACAGCCTTAAGGAGGGAGCAGTGTGACATGTTGTGCAACGGAGGACCCCTACCTCCTCAGCGGTACTTGGTGGTAACGTAGCGCTCTCGTTACTATGGTAATAGGCGAGTCATTACCCCGCCACTCTCCCCACGGTGACGTAACACGCAACGCGCAGCGACATAAGACGGCATGAGGTAACAGCGTTGCTAGGCAACAGGCAAGCACTGCGGCTATATAAGAGAACTACACTGCCTACGAAGCCAGTTGAAGTGTAGCCAGTGGCCGAAGACAGTTCTCCATTCAGCAGTGAGCGTGTAAATGTGTGATAATCAGTGATAGTTTGTGATAACTGAGAATTAATTGAGAGTGTGTAACACAGTGACACTTGTATAGCTCCCGTACTGTGTATTGTGTAGACTACTGACAATAGAGTGAATTGAATATTGCGAATAGGGTTATAAAGTGTGAAACCCCGCAACTTTGTTATAATTAATTGTAGCCGAGATTTGTAGGTTGTTAAATAAACCAATTTGCAATCCGAACATCATCCTCAGTAACCGAACACATTACAATATAATATTTTTGAGTAGGATTGCTTTTCTGTGTTTCAGCTTCTGTCATCAGTGTTTTCATTCTTTTCTTATTTACTCGTACACTCTGATAATATTTGTCATATTTTGATTTCTGTGTTATTTAAGATCCATTTGAATTATGTTCCAAGTATGGTTCCAGTATTTAATATTCATATGATGTAAGATGTATAATTGTTCGTTCAGTTTTTCTATCCAAATGTATTGGGCTTACATCAACAGACCCAGCTATAGGCATGGCTACACTTTACTGTTCATCAGAATGGGACAGTTCATATGTGTGAACTTCTTACTGTGGAATGAAAACGGAAAATTTTGGCATGGCAGTATTTATTGAAGGAGAACAGTAGTGTGTACTACTCACTCTGTGTCGAGTATTACAGGTGCCAGAGTAGGAACTATGGTTTATCTACAGTGGTAAAGTAGACTTGGGAACCCTTGAGTGGATGAAGTCAAAAAGACACACTTATAATATCAATGACAAGAAATTTAATTTCTTGCGTTTGTATGTATAAGCAAAGATATACTGTACTCATATCTCAAGTTTGTCAGACATGATGTTAACTCATCTGTTTTCCGTTGCAGTGGGGGAGATATCGACCAACACACATTATCAGAAAAACAGAAGGATGTGAAAAAAGGAAATAATTGTTCATCTGATGTCATGCCCATCCTCATAAAAATGTAAGAATTTAGTAGTACCTGAGGGTTTGCCTGCCACAGTATGGACGCAGTGTCCAGTCTGATGCTCACACATTGAAGATGACAAAGAAGCATTATATGCCTAAGTATTTGTCAGCCTGCACCAGAAGTGAGAAAGCTGCATTCAGTTTCAACACCTTCAGCATTAGAATAGTTAGTGAATTATTTGCAATTATATGCAGCAACATACATTCCTCTTAAAGAACAGAGTGCTTTTACCTGCTAGCAGCAATTACTGTACATATAAACTCCGTGGCCTGCAGTCCGCATGCAAACTATACCAACCGAGCGACTGCCGCTTAACAGCGAAGTTAGTGCCAACTTTTGTGGACATAGGGTGTCACTTGGTCAGCGCAACGCCTTCCCACGGCCATTAATCTCGGTTTCCTAGACCGGAGCCACTATTTCCTTGAAATAGCTGGTCAGTTATCCTCACAAGGCTGAGTGGACCCCGTTCCAAACCCACTACTTAGAAAATATTGTAGCGCTGGGAATCGAACCCGGGACCTTTGGATCTGTAGCCAGGAACTCTGAACACTAGACCACAGAGGCGGTCTGCTGTACGGACAGTCTGTGAAACTGTGTTTTGATTGGGTGATATCTATGTGAATAATGAATGAATTTCCATTTTAATGGCACTCTCAGCCTCCATTATCTGGGATTAATTGTATGAGTGATGCAGCAATGTGGCCAGTGTATACATGCAGTTTCTCTTGGAATCTGGTGTCCTTGTTGCAAAGGAACTAGCGGAGATAACAGTGGGTGGAGTCAGGGGTTGACTTATATCCAGGGCAACAGTTGTTATTTCCTAACGCTTGAAGACTCGGATGTTGCAAAATTTACCAGAGGCTGTGTGTTTAAGGTGCTTCTTCACTGATGTATGCTGGTAGCCAGGGTCCATGATTAGCCTGGACCGAATCTTGTATTCCCGTTTAAGTTACTGGGATGTAGCTGGGCTGGACTGGTGGGCTTGTATGAGTACTATGTAGTTGTAGTCAGTAGAATGACGTGTAGTTCTCGCCAAGACTGGGGTATACTGTAGTTCAGTAGTTGTAGTTACTGCTGTGGTATCCTGTAGTTAATTGTATACAGTACTGCATTATGTTTGAAGATGGTACACAGATGGTACTGGCCCTTGAGACCGGGTTACATCCTGACATCATCAGAGAAATGGGATTTAGTGTAAGTCTGTCTGAGAATGTAGCTACCAGTGTACATCAGCAAAGCATAACCATTGACAGAAGTACTGCGACTGCTTCCTTCATTCCAAATTATCCATGTTAAATGATGCTGTTCATGGCCAAATACATGACAAGAACACCTGATCACCTAATGTTCTCCAGGTTCATCAGAATGGAAGCAGACATTTCTGAGAAACTCTGGAAATTGATTGCACACTGACATGTCCAAGGAGGTTTTGTTTGTAGGAATTGAGATGGGTTGGAAGTTGAACACTTGAATCAGTGGTTTTGTTGTCTTCCGCGCCATGCAGTCTTTCTGAACCAGTGTGGCAAGACATTCAATTATTTGTTTTTATGCATTTAACGAAATGTAACAGCAATTCAGTCTAGTACAGCCGTGTCAAACATGCGGCCCCTCAACTTTTAGAGCTAATTTATAATAAAATCAATATTAAAATTTTAGTAGAAATATTTTTTTGTAAAGACAATTTTCCAACAGACCAGAAGACAAGAAGTCTCACGCAGACATAGATTAGCAGGCTGCAGGGAAAGTGATTCTGAGAATTGCAGAAGGGTTTGTCCAACTAATGGTTTGTAAAGTTCGTGAAGGAAAACTATTGTATTTCAGGAGGTTAATGCACTAAAATCTGCACAGCCTCACCACCACAAGTATTTCCAAGAATCCCTTTTGGAGGGGTAGTAAGAATGCAAGGAGGGTGGCAACTGACAGACAAGTGCAAGGGATTTCTACCTTCAAAACTAGCTTGCAACCCCCAGCCAGTGTCTAATGGGCTGCTAGCAAACTTCCAATTTTATGACCATTGAGATAAGATACACCTTCCTACTAGTCTGGTAGTCTCTTGTACATTGTCATTCAGTTCATTTTCACACAGCGGCAGTGCTGATGTTACATTGTGATGAACGTATAAAGGTTATAATTAAACATTAAATTATCAACTACGAGTTTTCTTGTATATGTACAGTAACTTTTAAAGGGCAATCTCGCTTTCAAAAAATTCAAGTAGCAAAAAAAGAACTACTGAAAGTGAGTGCCATGTTTTTCAAGAAAAATGGGAAATCACTTATTTCTGTTGTGAAATAGAAGGTAAAGTTACATGTTTGATTTGTGGGCAAAATATAAATGTTCCACTTTAGGTAATTATACTGAAATTATTCCAAAATAATAAATAGAATTAAATTTCCTTGTATCAAAATCTAATATATATTTCTATTTTGAAGTGTGGCCCTGGACTGTTATTTCTAGGACTGAGGTGGCCGTCTGTACAAGTTGAGTTTGACGTGCCTGCTCTAATAGTTTCCCAAGTTTTATTAACATCCACCTCAGTGTCCAAATTTTCCAAAGCCGCAAACCTATTTCAGATTTCAACACGATACTGCTCTTTACACTCTACCTCATTTAATTTCTTGAGATTGAACCTCTCCATATGAACTTGTGTGTTGTTTGCTTGCTCACTGCCAGTCTTTCCCTAACCTTTGCCACCACCAGGTAGTGGTCAGTATCACAATCTGCTGCCCTGAATGATCAGACATCAAGTATACTTGAGTGCCGTCTCCTATCTATCAAAATATGGTCTATTGATTGTGTATCTTCCCATCAGGAGATGTCCAAGGAAATTTATGGATGTTACAATGTGGGAACATTGAACTTTTGACAGTAAGATTTTTTGATGTGGCAAAGTTTACTACTCTAACTCCATTATCATTACTAATTTCATGCAAACTCTCATTCCCAATATTTGGTTTGAAAATGTCTTCCCTCCCTACTTTGGCATTGAAATCTCCTAACAAAATTTTCATAGGGTACTTCAGGAATTTATCAGATACATTTTCTAGTTCTTCATAGAATCTGTCCTTTATGTCATCAATTTTATCTTCTGTTGGGGCATGAATATTCATAACAATGATATCACTAATGAACTCTACCCTCTTAACTGCTGATACGATTCTTTTATGTATGAAGAAACCTGTACCTAATTCATGATTTTCATTCCCCTTTCCATAGAAAAATGTATATTCGGCTGCTGGTGCGATGCCACCTCCATCCCATCTGACCTCCTGTACTCCCGCTAAATCTAACTTCTATTTTAAGATTTCTTCTGCCACTGCCCTGAGTGAACCTGCCCTATACAAACATCTGACGTTCCACGTACCGAATCTCATGTCCATTTTCTTTAGCTTAGGCCTTTTATCCAAGGAATCTGTCCAGGTCCGAGACTTTGTGTTTCTTTTTCGTAACGTGATTTTTTACGGTGAGGAGTTTTTAGCCCCACGCCCAACCCCCAAGCTGGAGGGCCACCCCTTGTCGGCTGTCCGTGACTGCTTATTCAATATATTCACAGCTTCCATCCAAACCTGGAGAGCGTGCAACCTGAGGACGTGCCATGCCCTGGTGACGGACCCACCTAACATGGCTGTTCCCAGCTTGCATGCAAAAAAAAGTTGCTCATGACTTTCGGTACGACCTACATATTTGTAAGGTAACGAAAGAATATCAAGGGATTGTCTATAGCATTTAACAGAGTTCCTAGATGCTATTACTGAAAACAGATTTCCAGTAGGCCGAAAATTTACTGGTACATTTCCTCAAGTCCTAAAATTATGACAAAAGAATTCATAAGACGTCTCTATTTGAAAAAAAAAGGTCACATATAGTTGAGGAACAAGATATCGATACCAGCGTATATGACTATGCTATAAGCTGGAAGGTCACGGGTTCGAATCCTGATGAGGTCATTAGATTTCCCAGTTGATCTAATCCATCCAGACATATATGACTCTGGGGTCAACTCAGCCTCTAACAGAAGTACCACTAATCTTCCTGTGAGTAAAGGGCAGCCGGAGTTTAAGGATGACAGACTCACCGCCATCTGGGTGCCGATTATTTAGAAAATCTCTCTTCTGCAGTGTTTATATATCCCCGTACTCTGCTTCTTACTATCTAGTGCACATTTTCGTGTCTACATCAGAAAGTCATCATGGAACTCTGGTAGCCACTCAATATTCTGACATACGAATCTGATCACAAATATTGTATTTCAAACATTTCAAACTAGGAAGCGAATGAATATTGTACAGTGGCAGATCTGTGATTAAGATATTATTTCTGTTATTATCCATTTCCTGTGCTTATTAATAGGCTAATTCTAAGTCCTGATATTTAACAGCCTCTAAAGACAGTCGGCCTTGTATGGAGAATTTGTGCCAGTGGCTGCACCTGATACAAAGTTGTGTGGTAGGCAATGCGAGAGACAGACGAAGATCTTTTAACCATGTTAAGAGATTATAAATTATAATAGCAGGTTGGTGGAGAGCAATGGGTGAAGCGGAGACCAAATCTGTGACATCTACATTTCAAATATCTGTGCTATGGATGGCTGTACCGAAGTGCTTATGGAAACAAAAGGTGGAATACAAAGTACACATGGGAGGGCACTCAAGGCTGGATACTCATCATGTGTGGTTTGTCTTTTGGTTATGTTGCTGTATATTTCATGCTTGCCTGAAATGCAAATTGAACTATGACAGATGTATGGTAGAAGACAATATGTAGTGTGGAGTCTAGAATTGAGCACAACCACACTGTGTGTGTCAGTATTAATAATGCCTGTAATATATCATTGTTGTGCACTACAGTAAACACACAGTATTTCAGCATTTTTTATGGAAGTGTAATTGATCAAGTTGTTCAATGGCACTTTAAATATTAAAAATGATTAAGTTCTGTTGAATCCCTTGGAGTTAATATTCATCAGTCGTGCAATGCTGACCCTCGAATCACTTTGTACTCTTCTTCGTTATTCATAACTGAAATTCGGTGATGATTATGTCATCTGGAAGAAGTGAAATACAATCATTCAACTTAAATATGTGTAGTTACTATAGGATTCTGACGATGGTGTATAACACACAGAGATATTGGGTTTTCGGACTTTATGCATCATCCTGGTTTTTAAGATAACTAAGAAAAACACGACGTTTCAGAAACTGGATCTGTTTCCATCCTCAGGTGAGGGAAAACACCTATTCTGTTGGGTCCCTTAGAAAGAGCTAGTCTCAATCCAGTGATTGAGGCGAGCATCAAGTCTATTGGCTGAAACTCTGTCCCATTCCCGTTTCCAAACATCCAACCCAAATTCAATGTTGAACTGAAAGCTATCCTACACTTCGTTTAATGGAAAGAAGCTCTGACACTTAGGACTCTGTGTCATATCCACAAAACATTCTTGCTCACTGATTTCTCGTGTGTGTACCAGGAACTCCTCACCGTGTTGTTATGGTCGCTTTAAATAGTTCTGGAGAACAAATCTGACACAACATTGGACTCGGCTACATTTTTGCTTGCCGTCTAAAGCATGCCTCAGTTTGCCTTATAACGTTTATACGTAGGAAAATAATTACAAACCTCATTCGGTATTATGTTTAGAATTTGGTTCCAAAATTATTCTCAAGGGGTTGGAAGCCACATTATCGGAATGTGTAACGGTTTGAATTATTCTTTACAATCAGTATTCTATTGTATCAGAAATCAGAGCATGTGGAAGCAAAAGAACTGGCCCACGTGCAACTTTCCTTGTTACAGCCCCTCGGCACGATGAGCCACAGGGTCACTGAGGGGGGCCTGAAAAAGAGAGGAAAAAATTAATTAGTGTACCAGAGAGTAAATAAAATTAATTGGTTTGTAGACATCTTTAGAATGAAAAATCTTGCTCAGAGGTCAATTCATCAAAAAATTATTCATTATTTTGTGTCCTCTTAAACTGGTTTACATATTTTCCTTCCTCTCAGAAATGTTGATGTCTCAATCTGTAAAAGAAATATATCAAAACATTAGAATACCACACAGTTAATTGTGAAATGTTTTCCTGGTGTCAAACTTGTGAGTTCAAAGAACACATGCTGTGAGAGGTAGCACTACATATTTCACTGATGTTTCACTTTGGTGATGTAAACTGATGTACTGAATCTGAGACAATTCAATCAGAACATGAGAAGATCACATTGCTAAGTGTTAGACAGAGATGAGGACGTTCTTCTAAAGTAATATTCTCATATAGGAAACAAATGAATCTCCAGATTATTCCACAATTTTTGTCCTCTCTTCTACTGTAGGCTGCGGCTGATCCAGAGAGTCCTAGCTAATGGCCTGGTACCCCCCACCCCAGACGTAACCTATAAAATTCTGAAGAGAGAACATCGAGAAAGAATGGAAGAGTTGCAACTTGTCCACATCAAAATATTTTACTGTCAGATAGGTAGGCCCTTGGCCGACAGACTACGGAGGTGTGAAACAATTCAATCGGACAATTAGAATACCTTAAAGGTAATGTATCCGTAATCAAACCTGGGCACCTCAAATCGACGAGGTTTCTCCTCAGATATTTCGATTTTTTTTTTCGCTGAATCTGCTTCTGAACATTGCAAGGTATTTAAGGGAATGGCGTTCAATGAAACCAGTGCCCGTTGGCATTTTTGGCTCACGTGATGTACCGTAACAAGAGTAGCAGTTCCTGTCACGTTCGGGCGACGCAATATTTCCCCCCACCCACAAGGCAGACCTAGCAGGAACGAGAGCAGAAACCACTACAAGAAGTTAGGTTCACCCCTATTCGCCGCCTCCGGTTGCCAATAAAAACTGGGCGAGTTGCACAACCCGCTGTAATCAGTGTCTTTTTGTTCGTGTGACAATCAGGTATATTCCTTACGCTGTGAGTTCTTGTATGTGTGCTTACGGAGAGTGGGACTGCTTCACTCTGGGCCCTAAGGGGAAAGATTAAGTGCACACACCATTTGTGATGTAGATACGTCCCCCATTCCACACACCTTGTATATAGTGCTTAATTTCAGCATTTGCAATACAGCAGTGAGTTTGTAAATAATATTTAAAAACCCACCAAATTATGAAGAATCTAAAGGACAGATAGCATAAAATTTTGTTGTGGGAACGCATCTACCTTACTCTAAGAGAAAGTAGGTAAGTTAAAGTCTTACGCCACTTCATCACTTGGAAAATCAAATGATAAATACAAACGTGCAAACTCTATCCCGGGTGTATGCCAATCAATCCTATGAAGAAGGGGCCGTTACTTACACATTATCTCAGCATCAGAACTGAAATGAATTCGCCACAAGAACTAAGAATTTAGTGAAAATACTTTCCATTAAGAATGGAATGGAATGAAATTGAATATTATTGCAAAAGACTGGCCTGTGGGAACAAACAGGCTGCCCTCCTGTACATGCAAGAAGAGCTTCGTCAGAAACTCTTCACCGATAATTTGGTCTCTCTCTCTCTCTGCGACCTCTTTGCCAAGTTTTCTGCAGCTTGCCAACGCACTACGCTTCCTACATAAATGACGAAAAACGTAACACAGCGATCTAACATCGAATGCTGATGGGGTGGTGGGGTGCACACAACAAGACGCAAAATCAGCAAAACACTTCCTTAAGTATGTAGTGACGTCTGTGAAATACAGGCTGCCTACTTGGCTCCTACGTACTACAAAACACTACGACTCTAAAACACACCAAATAATGGATGATATTTGGAATACTAAAAGATTCAGCCGAGCGGTCTAAGGCATGTACTGTCTTCGCTCGCTTGGAAACTGGGATCGTGGGTTAGAATCCCACTCAGGGCATGGATGTTAGTGTGCGTTTTTCTGTGTCTGTGTACAGGTGTAGGCCTTGCGACGAGCTGATCACCCGCCCAAGGAGTCCTACCGAATGTGTAAGATCTAGAAAAACCGAAGCGAACGGAGAAGTTCATGGAGGTAAGCCTAGGTCCACTGGGGCTGTAGTGCCAAGGAAACAAAAAGATTCAGCCAACGACCCTTAGCGAGCAGAAGGCAACAGGGAGACAAAAAAGTCAGCCTACTTTACCGGCGATGCGTTGCAGTTTGGTGTGTATATGGATGTTTGCAAGTGAGCGACGAAGACGTTACAAATAATGAAGATTGTTGGTCTACTTGAACTGTATGTTGAAGACAGACTTGATGCACATGATGCTGCTGCAATCCTTGTTGAGTGGGCCATCACAAGGGCAGGGTGTGCATATCTCACTTATATTCACAATTAGCACTTATTCTTGCGACACTACACAGGCCTTTTGATGCGCTATTCACTTTCACTATTTTTTTTCCCTTATTTTCTGTGAGTGCACTGAATTCACTTCACACACAACTTCTTCTCTTTCCACAATTTACACTGGAAACGTACCAGTTTCCTCCCATGCTCACCAATTATGATCAACATAATATCTTCACTTTGGCTTTTCCATTACTGCACTGACTTGACTCTGAAAACACTTCCTCTTCCAACACTGACCGAATACACTTTTTGCTTGGTAAACAAACAACTTTGTTCTGAATTCCGTTACCGGTAAATTGGAGAAGTTAGAGCTGATTTTCCTTTACACTGATTACACTTTCATTTCGAACAGTTTCTTTAATAAAACAGACTCCATTCTGAACTTTTTTATTTAATTAATACTTTGAAAAGAGCCACAACTGTTCTGTGCAAACTTAAGTGGAACGCAGAAAGAAGCGCGCGACACGCAGCATGCGCGCGCATCCTACTTAGAGTTATCTAGAAAGATTCAGATTTCCAAATCATTAAAATTTCCTATTTAGTCGGAATTTAAAATACTTCCTTCTTTTATAACAATTTTGAACTAAACATATCCAACAAAAATAAAGATCTCCTTGCTTTTGCTAGGCCGAAAAATTCAGCATGCCTTCACTGAATTTTCTCGTTAAATATCTGAGGAACACGTTAAATGTGTTTCATTTGTTTCTATCTTGAGTAGGAAGTTTTCACTTTTCAGCTATAGTCTATCCCATGGAGTTGTGAAAGAAATGTTACCGCATACCTAACATTCGAAAAAGCATTTCAGATTTTTGAACTATAAAAAGATTGTGAAATATAAACACTCCATCGCAAACACCATGTGAAAATTTTTCCTCGTGTGGCAGAGCTATATTGTTTCGAGACTCCTGACTTCTTATTTGAACGAATAGCGTATATTCTGGCAAAAATTTAATAAATCATCTAACATTTTTCCAAGAAAATATATATATATATACCTTCATTCGTCATGAGAAACAAAATTAATTATAAATTGTTTGCAAAGGACAATATTCGTAATGAGTTACGTCAAACAAGGAGCTTTCGTTATCTTTCAAATCACGCAGAAAAGCAAGAAATCCAATAAGGAAAGCTATTTTGGATTTCAGGGGCATACAAATGCACTTATCACATGTATTTATTTCGTGCCATCCTTTTTAACGGAAATACCCTTCTACATACGGGATCATGTTAACACGGTTCCATAAACAGGAAAATTCCTGGAGCAGCTGATGGCCTAATAGCCTCCCAGGCCAGATGCGTCATGGAATTACGGAACTTTATATGCTAGAAATTTTGAATCATTATACGTATCTAATACCACTTTAATAATATGTTATATTACATGTTCAAATGTTCAGTGTGTTATATTTGGGAAGAAGACTTGGTTGCAACGTTATGCATTGATCCTATTTCCTTCTTGGCCCGTGCTCGAAATAGAAATTAAGTTTTAACTGAGATTGGTTACTACGGCAATTAATTACACGGTGCAATTCATCTGAGTATAAGTGAAGGCCGGCCATGCATAATGTGAAGAAAGTTATATCCCACCACCACCACCACCACCACCACCACCACATTCGAAGTGGGAACCATACATCCATCGTACATTCCTCCATTCATTCATTTTTAATCAAAGTGTTTCAGTTATCCATCCAGTCACGTGGCCGCGCCATAGCTCAAGCGGTTAGTCGCTGGCTTCCCACCGCGGCGGCCCGGGTTCGATTCCGGGTCTGGTCAAGTGGGATTTGTGGTGGACAAAGTGGCGCTAGGGCAGGTTTTCTCCGAGTACTTCGGTTTCATCTGCCAATCTTCATTCCACCAATTGCTCTACAATCACCCTCACCTATCATCTGGAGCTGGTACAGTAGGCCAGAAGTGGCCGCAGTACAAGGGACTTAGTCCCACCCAACTAGCAATAAAAAAAATATCCATCCAGTCGAGCTTACGTGAACACAACAAAGAATGAGAAGATGATGTTAGTATTTTACATACATACAGGCTCTAGATGAATTGTACTGTGCAAAGTTGGTAAATGCCAAAGTTTCATGCCTTTCCTAAAATATAGGATTTCTAAATACATCGTAAGGCTCTAGAAAAAAGTTTACGCAATATTTTGATGCCAACATTACGAGAAAAAATTATTACATTGACGGCTGAAGAATTACAAAAATTAAGTACAATCAGTTCTGTTATTCATTAAATTAGTAAAGTATTCTACTTATAATTCCCACCCGAACGGGCACTGAAAGTTTTTATTTGCAGCCTTAGCTGCAGCTCTATTCTTGTATTCGTTTTACAGGTAAACGCTGGGAACATCGCGTTCTAAAGCGAGTGTGGGCTACCGAACAGATCCGTCACTTTAGTACATATGATCAGTATACGGCTGTGAATTACCAATTGTTGTCCTACTTTTCGCTAGAAACAAGTATAATTTCCACGATTAGCTCCAAACTGCAGAGTTCTTTGTCTTCACCTCACTCCATTTGCTATATTCCTGTAACTTCTGTTCCCATGTCATCCATGCCTGTTACTGCACTGTCCTTAGCAATTTTACCCAGTCCACGTATTCATACCTTACTTCTTTCTGTTCTTTTTTAACATAGACTGGGGCTCTTTGAGAACAGGGTGTTGAGGAGAATGTTTGGACCGAAGAGAGATGAAGTGGGAAGGAGTTGGAGAAAACTGCATAATGAGGAGCTTCATAATTTGTACTCTTCTCCAAGTATAATTAGAATGATCAAGTCAAGGAGGATGAGGTGGGCAGGGCATGTAGCACAAATGGGGGGACGAGGAATGCGAATAGGATATTAGTGGGAAAGCCAGAAGGAAAGAGACCACAAGGAAGACCATGACGTAGGTGGGTGGACAATATTAGAATGGATCTTAGAGAGATAGGATGGGATGGATTGGACAGATCTGGCCCAGGATATGGACCAGTTGAGCGCTCTTGAGAACACGGTAATGAACCTTCGGGTTCCATAAATGCTGGGACATTCTTGAGTAGCTGCAGAATTGGCGGCTCCTCCAGAAGGGCTCAGCTCCATGAGTAAGTAAGTAAGTAAGTAAGTAAGTAAGTAAACGTTATTACGCCTCTATGTTAAGCACAACAGACCACTGTAGGTCGCGGTGCAAGGGCCGAGAAGGCCTACCCCTCATACATTCATACACCTTTACGTTGTGTGACTAAATTTTTGCGTACCTGTTCTAATATTATTTCTATTGTCTCAGACATTTCCTTAATTTTGGTTTTACCACCCGGATCCTGATTTGTACGGGCTACTACTTTCAAATTTCCTTTTCGCTTCAATTATTTTCGCCAAATGGAACTTCATATGTACTTCTCTCTTGTTCCTGTAAACAGTACGATGCGCCATTTTACTACAGAGCGCAAACCGCCAGTGTGCTTGTACAGAAACTCAACATGGAGCAGGTTTCCAACGTCTCATGTGTTCGAAAAGTTTGTTTCAAAAGCATATACAATTCAATGGTATGAACCCGGTACAAGTAGCAACGATGTTGTGTACAAGAATGAAGAGAAAATTAAGACGAAGTTACAATTGATCATGCGTATATTCATTATAATTACACAATTGCTTCCTGCATTCCACATGCCACATGTACTTGTTGAAGGATATTATGATTTCGTAGTTAATTTTGGATCTTAAATGTTGACACCGATAATGTGATCATAGTTTCCTATTATTTAACGGAAATGGAATCTATTTGGCCATTTCAGATCCTCTACTCGGTACACAAATTTACAGAAATTTGTAACGTTTGTTAAATTATTGAATTAATCAGTTACGCTCTTATAAGTGTTCGAGCACTCTTATTTTACAGAACACTTTACGTTAGTAACCTCCTTCCAGGCTAAATAAATTTACGAAGAGGCTTTCAAAGATATGAACATTTGACGGTTGACCTTAGCACTGAAGCACTCCCAGAAACAACCCGATGCTGACTGACGTGAGTCTGATAAGTAAGAATTACTGAAAACCTTGTGGGGTATACATCTTATTGACCTTATTGACGTTCCCTTGTTTCTCTCTTGTCATCCTCTACTGGACATTTGATGTACTACCAATATATGTATGACAGAAGAATATATTCTGCAATTTCTTCATTATACGTTTATTTTATATTTTTTAAATATTACTTTAATATATAGTATTTATGTCATATTTTACATCCGTAAATATTCATGTGGCATGCACTGTCTTCGCTCGCTCGGAAGCCGAGATCGTGGGTTCGAATCCCACTCAGGGCATGGATGTTTGCGTTTTTCTGGGTTTGTATACAGGTAGAGGCCTTGTGACGAGCTGATCACTCGTCCAAGGAGTCCTACCGAATGTGTAAGATCTAGAAAAACCGAAGTGAACGGAGAAGTTCATGGAGGTAGGCCTAGGGCCAATGGGGCTGTAGTGCCAAGGAAAAAAAAGTATTCATGTTTTATTTGTAAGTCTTTTCTCTGTAAACAATTCTGATTTTATTTATTACAGCCATGGTCGTCTTCATTTCCGGGGAAGGAAGATCAATCTGATAACTGCCTAATATTTTTGTTTAATCAAATTTTACGAGAATATGTACACAATATAAAAAAACTAAATTATTTTTAAATATGGTTTCTGAATGCTCTAGGAAATCCCTAATATTGGTCTTTTAAGGCTTCGACTTATAATTTTGTGTACGTTTCTTAGTCACACCCTCCCTGGGAGTATTTCTCTATATCTGCTTCCGTCTACTAGGGAAAGAAACCTCACGGCTGATAATCTGTCTATATCTAACACGTTTCAAAATAGTCATGAGCTGTATGAAAGCGTGGTCAGTTTTATATTTCCGGTCAACAGAGAGAATCTTTTTTTTTCTGTGATGTTCTCTCAGTGAAAGAGTGGAAATTTGTAGTGCTGATTAGAGCATCAGAAATTTTAAATTTTTTCCTTTCAATTCTCCTGTTGAAATTCTTTTGTTTCTGAGAGTATTTTGAGGCTGGACAATTAGATTTTTTTCCTTTACATATTGTCACTTGTAGAGGGGTACACGTGACGAAAATTACGTTTTCTAAATCGGATTACTGGATTTATTTTCACTTCAGTTACAAGATCTCTTAATCACTCTCAATTACGCTATCGTTATTCTACACACTTTCAGCTCATCGTTGTACACGCACAACAAATATCTGTCCTCACTAGTCGTCTCCTGGCAACGGATCTCAAGGCAGAAGCTAGAACTTCAAATCACTATGAACTATTCTCCTTATTTCGTCTTCAATCATCTGTATTCCTCTGTTCTAACCTGCACTCAACTAATCTTCACAATTCACTAAGGACATAATCCATTCTCGCCCTTGAACTCTCAATTGCACTGAACTCACTACA